CAGATGCATGGATGGACGCATCAACGACGCAGAAGCGGATGCATGGACGAACGGAGGGACTGACGCACGAACAGACGCACGCACGGATGGGCGGATGGAAGCATGGACGGACGGAGGCAAGAACGAATGACCGTACGAATGCTTCGCCCCACTCTCCATCATTCTCTCCGTGCATAAGCTGCCAATTTTTTTTACCCTGCCTTCCCCTCCCCTTCGCCTATCTACCACTGTCATCTCATTGTCGTGACGTATGGTGGGAGGTGATTCGGAGGCGCTGCAATTTTTTTCTAACTAGCTTTGTCTAAGCCTAGAGTAGTAGTGCTCTTACAATTTTTTCTTTGGGTTTCTTCCAAATGAAGTTGACAAGTACTACCTTTTCCTCGGTTGAACTCTTTTTCATACTCTCATTCCCCTGGGCGACCTTTTTACATGAAACTGCTGTTACCTTTAAGATATACGCTAGTGCTTTGTACCCTTCCAATTCATTTTCTCTTTCATCTACCATATGCCGGTACATTGTGAGAGACTTCCTACTAAGTAAATTGCGAGATTCGGCTAGTTGCTAAACTATTATTAAACTTTTCAGCGCGAAAACTTCCGACAACTAACACAAGAGACGACGACGAGCACACCAAGCCTTTTTAGGTGGCTCCAAAATATTGCCATGTTCCTTTCCTCAAGTTTTGTTATCCCCCGCTGCACTACGTTGACCGCTAACCACGTTTACGATGTTCGAAAAGCGTCGAGGCTGTAGTATATTGTTTTGTTAAGATTATGCTCACTTCGTACCCATCACAAATTTTTCCGGAACCTAGGTGGCCGCTAGCGATAACGCTAGAATATTCGATGGCAAGGGTATAAATGCTGATGCGCTTCTCCGCTTGTCAGTTGATCGATGGCCGATGCTCTGTTCGCTGCTATCACTACCTGTTTCCTGCTGTAATCTGACTTTCCTTTTGCTTGGCCACAAATTCGGCCCCAATAAGCTATTTTATTTTCGACCTGATAATTTATATGCATGGTTTAACGCCCCAAAACCACCATATGATAATGAGAAACGCCGTATTGGAGGGGTCCGATAATTTTGATCCCCTGGGGTTCTTTAACGTGTACCCGATTCTGAGCACACAGGCCTATGACATTCTCACCTTCATCGGAAATGCAGCCGGCGCAGCCGGGATTCGATCCCACGGCCTGCGGATCAGCAGCCGAGTACCTTAGCCACTACACCATCGCCACGGGGCTTTTATTTTTTTTGGGGGGTTCTGAAGTGCTGACTTTTCGTCTACGTCACGAGTCCGTGACAATATTGTCGCCGTGGCCTTCTTTTCGCGACTCTCTGTCATCAAGTGTTCGCTTTCACCTTTAACTTTTTGCCTCGACAAAGTTATGAGCAATTGATTTTTGTAATATGTTTTTCGTACTTTGTGGACTTCATTCTGTGGCCTCTTTTCTATTCTTGTTTTTCTGTGCTTTGGTATACGCCTCACGTCGCTTCTCGATCGCTTCCAGGATTTCTCTGTTTCAATAACTTTTTGGCTTTCTCTTTCCTTTCCAGCAAGTAGTTCTCTTTTTCTATCTGCCTCACCATTACATGTGATAGCTCACTATACTCCCAGTCTTTGCCCTCTAGTTTTCCTACATCGTCCCTGAATTTTGCGTCTATACTTGTTATTTTGTGTCACTTAAGTACCGGCTTCAAAACTTTGACGCTTTATTCACATGGTGAGTTTTATATCCCATTTTAAATCTTTTGCGTTTATGGTCACTACCCAAGCTGGTAATTTCTTCCTCGTCTATTCTAATATCTCTAAGTTTATCATAGGTTTTCTCTGTCATAAAAAAATAATCAATGCTCGATTGCCTATGTTCAACTTAACACGCGTGATCTGCCCCTCACACTTAGTCCCCTCGTTCACTATGTAAAGACGATGCTGCTCGCAGAGATCTAGCAATAACTTGTCGTTAGTGCATGCATATCCGTCAAGGTCTAGTATGTTAGCACTCATGCAACCTAGAAAGATTGCTTGGTCCACGATCAAATTCTTTGTTATCGGCGCCTATGCAATTCGCTGTCATCAAATTCCTTGCCTTGAAGTTATTTCCCGTCCACAAGTAAGCTACGCCTAGCCACGTTTTCTTCCCCCTTTTCGAGCCGGAAACCCAGAGGTGCTCCGAAAACGTTTGCTTCGCTCAGTCCAATTTGGCTTTGCTATAGATTAGCATTCCAACAACCCCACCTTTCCCTTCTGATATGATCATGTTTCATCCTTCCCGTGCGACTGAGCCGTGTAATGAGGTCGGAAAATCTCGAAGAATCGAATGATGCCGCCGTGGGAATACTCATCTGAAGAGCGTCGCCGGGATGATGCTCAGCGCTGGAGTTGATCTCAGTGTTTTTTTGAAGAGAAATACTCAAAAAACATTCTGAGAATTGTGTAGTACACACGTGCGGTGAATATTCAAGACCTCTTAAGCGTTCCTAATCAGTTAATATTGCTTAATATTGCATTGATAGCTTAGTGAGTTTGTTCCCTTTCATTGAATTGCGCTCTAAGTGATTGTGGATTGTGTGAATTGTAATTTATATTTTATCAGTGCGAATGTTTGTGTGAGGCTTTACTGCCTTTACTGCGAATACATTTTTTGTGTGTGGTAAACTCTATGTTCTAGCTCAGTGGTAGGACCACAACTCACGTTGCTCGTCCACTAAAATGACCTACAATATAAACCGTGCGCTGTCATGGTGCGTTTCGATGGAGCGATACATTGACCTACAAAACTCTGGGTGCTATCGTGGTGCGTTTCGACGGACCGATACGTTAGCCTTTAAAATTTTCAAGTGTGTCAAACGGCCAGCAATCATGAAAAGTTTTGAGACCAATTCTACAAAACATTGGCTCTCCTAGGGTAAACTGTTCGCAAAGTTGTATGTACTTCTGATAGCAATTCAGAATTTAACCTTTGTTGTGCAACTACGAAGCGCGTTGTTTGCGGTCTCATTGAAGTCATTGATGGAAGCAAAAATGTACGCCCATCTGCTCAGATTTGAGTACACGCTAAAAAACCCCAGGGGGTCAAAATTTTCAAAGCTCTTCACTACGGCGTCTCTCATAATCAAATGGTGGTTTCGGGATGCTAAACCCCACATATCAATCAATCAATCATTCATTGGAGCTTTGTGACACGTAGCAATACGTGTGAAAGCAGCTCTTCTGGGATGAACTTTGGCGCCGGAGCGGGCACAAGGTCAAGTAGGACTGGGACGCCGCTTCGGCGGCACGCAGCAGGCCACGCCTTTTTTATCCAGTGGTCGTGTCACCGATTAGGAACTACGAAGGCCACAGTACATCCCGTCAAAATATATGACGTCATGACGTTTTTTGCGCAAATTTTATAGTGAAGTAACACTCCCCCCCCTCCCCCCCCCCCGCCCCTGCATTTTCATTCTGAGCGTTTTCTCGCTTGCCAACCGTCTGTTCGAAGCGAGCGTGCTGATCTTGGAATTCTAACGCAGTAACGTAGTAACAATATCTTTTGTTCTTTTAAAGCCCGTTCAAATGTGTGCACGTACGTTGTGCATTGGTTTGGGTTACGCCAGCACATTTTGTTTAATTTCCTTACGCAACCATCCCATGAAGACGTGGCGCGTCATTGCCACGCAGCAACGATATGACCAGTCAAATTTGCAGGCTTTTTTCGTACACGGCTCTGCCGTCCAGACCGGCGCGGTCAACGATGACGAGAGGGCCCGAGCTCGTTTTGTGTGGGCTTGTTTTGTACTTATGCCTGTAGTACTTCAGCGTGAATATCACGTGACATCATGGCATGGTGCCAGCCCTTTGAATAAATATTAACTTTGGAACAAAAAGTTCTTGGTCTTAACCTGTTTCTTTTAAAGAGGCTGTTTACTGTCCTTCACTGCTCTACTGTTTTGGGTCGCAGTCGCAATAGAAAGCGTACAATGTGAAATGTCTAATCTTGCAGCGGTTTCTCTGGAACGTGCGTAGAAATTTTTTGCGTAAAAATCTCTGGAAAGTGCGTAGAAATGAAGCCTGCAAAAGCGTGTGCTTTTTGCAGGCCTAATCAAGAATGTATATTAACAAAAACAAATGCCTCAGTGATTGTTTTAGGCACGCACACACTTTCTTTGTTGTTCTCATGAGCGGCGATGAACGCCGTGGTCGCATTTCTCCACTCAGACTCGCAGCTATAATGCAAGCAAGCGAACACCGGGCACCTATTTGAACGCGTGAGAAAAAAAAGCGAAAATTGGTCTCCGGCGCTATTTAAAATACAAATTCAAGGTAAACGTGTTTGTTTTAAAAGGAATGGGTCGACCTGCGAGGCTTGTCCTAACAATAGAATGTCAAGACTGACCACATTGGCTGCTTAGTGACGCTAGTGGTCACTTTTTATCGACTTTCAACATCAAGTTAAATTAAATTTGTTTTTTTTTTCGGGCACGAAAGCCTGCTCGTTGCCGTTAATGTGATGAGCGATCTTTTCGTTTGCTCCACGTTCAGAAAACTTTTTCCGAGTAGTGGACAGGCCCTTTAAATGACATAATCAGATCATCATGGGCGTGAAATGGGTATCAGTAAAAGTGAGTTTGACTTGGATTCGAGGCAATCTTTGTGAGTGTCCTGTGAGCTTCCATTATGCACTCCTACATCATCCTTTTAGGTGAATGATTTGAGCTAAGCTTGCAGCTTTCCCGTAGAAAAAAATGTCTGAAAGCTGGTTTTGCAAATTCTTCTTCTTCTTCTTCTTCTTCTTCTTCTTCTTCTTCTTCTTCTTCTTCTTCTTCTTCTTCTTCTTCTTCTTCTTCTTCTTCTTCTTCTTCTTCTTCTTCTTCTTCTTCTCCTTCTTCTTCTTCTTCTTCTTCTCCTTCTTCTTCTTCTTCTTCTTCTTCTTCTTCTTCTTCTTCTTCTTCTTCTTCTCTTCTTCTTCTTCTTCTTCTTCAACATGTCATTTTCTTTTTTCTTTCTTTTTTACAGAGGCAGGAGAGAATATAGGATACTTGCTCGTTCATTGGAATTTGACTTTCCACTGTGCAATTTTTTACACACAGAAAACGGTCAATGGTGAGTTATTGCAACAAATGACACGACATGTTGTTTAGCATAACAGCAACGAAAAAGATTCCCTACAATAGCATCGGTTGTTATTCTTCTGTGCCTTACCAGTAAACTCACAAATTTATCTCCTTTTTTTTTGAACACACAAATAAGCTCGCGTAATGAAAGCGTTCGAGGCACTGTCACATTAGTTCTAATGAAAACAAAGCAGTGCGAATTGTATCGTGGCATGTATTAGTATTAGCGTCAGGGACACAAGTGTGAGCCCACTGCCAAGTTTGCATGGACTTTGACTGTATTTGCAGACGGACGGCTTTGATGCCTCCTTAAATGCGTAAAGTAACGGTGTGTGTCATCGGCGTCAACACGAGTGCTGTCAAATACCATCACGTGATTGACCCATCATGGGTTATCGTCATAACGTCACGTGTGCTCAAAGTTTGAAGCGTCTTGAGGATGGAATCGTGACGTCATGATGACGTCGGCACGTACCACAGCATTTTGATGTCGCAACATGACATCGCCAGTTGGTCTAAGGTGGGCCTATAAAGAAAGCACTGAATTACCCCTGAAAGTGCACAAATTTTCCATTTTCTGTCGTTCTGCAAGAAGTGCAAAACAGCACTTGCTGCAGAAACATTTAGAGCGGCATCAACACAACCGACGGAACAGAAAAACAATAGCAGGTTTGTCCTCCGCTTTAGCGATTGCTTAAGGGGCCCTATGACTTTATTTGGTTGTTCATGGTATACGTGAATTGGGAACGAGTGGTTCTGTGGATGCGAACAACCAGCTTATCATCAAGGGAAGGTTCCAGCAGAAGCAGATAGAGAATGTGCTCGGGCGATACATAAGTAAGTCAATAGCGTGCCTTAGTGATTCATTACTTCTCGAGTTGCTATTCTGTGTGGGAAGCTTCTGTATAGACGGCTTCCCATTCTGGCAGTACTCTTTTCTTGTGCTTCAGTTCTCATAATCATTCTTTCTTTTCCCTTTCTGTAGCCTGTTTTCTTCATGACGTGTGTGCCATGATCTGCGTATTCTTCTCAGCTCATTTGCTTAGGTTTTCTGCTATAGAAGAACCATCTGTTTTGCTGAAGTATATAGGCTATAAATTAATTTCTATTATACTGAGGTCTGTTATTTGCACAGAGGTTGTGGGTTTCGTCCCCACCGGCAGCATGTTGGTATGTACTGAGTTTAGGAAAACGGTAGGCGGGGGATTGCATTATGTTCTTCAAAAATTGTATTGTTCCTTTACTTTTTGGGACTCATTTATATCAATTATCAGTTATGCAAATAAATTTAAGTATAGAATAATAGGCGTAAAATTGAGCGGAAGGAATTGCTCAAGAACCGTTACACATGTTGGTGCTCATTTTCTACCTTAAGCAATGTAATATGCGATCAGAGTACAACAGGCTGAAGAGTTGCTTACTATCAGATTATTTCAGGGCATTGCTTTCATATCTAGGTTAGACTTAGTGAGGTGGTAGTTCTTACATTTGACAGACTTTTTTTATTATCCAGGTGGAATTGGCCTGCATAACACCTATGTAGATGAGAAAATGTGGCTACTTTACCCAATTTTACTACAATTTAGATCATCACCTCGCTTTGATGCAATCTAAAACTGAAGCTTTTATTTGTTTATGTGCCATGCAAGTGGTTTTTATGTTGTCTGTTTATTTTAGTGAGAGCTCATCAGAGCTCTCCTTAAGGAAGAGCTACAAAAGATGCAGGTGAGTGCTTCACCTGTAGAGCAGCTCTCCATTGCGGAGATGGTACGCGTCCAGCTATGGCAAGCCGTTCACGCTTTCCAACATTCCGAGGCGCCATAACCGAGGCACCGGGTCGAAACGAGCTACGCGGAAGCAGTGCGACGTCCTCCATCGTGCAGTTTACCTAGCGTGTTGTACCCCTATGAGCGACGCGCTCAGCAAATGGAGGTAGGCTTCCGTTCTCACGGCCCACCGTTGAATGCCGAAGCAAGACCGAGAAAGAGTGACATCTGGCGTTCACCTGACCACAGGCCCCTTTGTTTCAACTGCGAGGAAGCCGGACATATCTACCGAACATGTCCATACCACGTTGTGGGTCTCCGTGGATTTTCGCCTAATGCGCCTCGTCCACGACCTGGCGAGCGACCACTGGAAATATAGAGTTTCATCTTAAATGGTCCCAGTATCGAAAATCGGTCTCAAGAGCCCAGCTCGTCGTCGCCTGCTCACTACAGGTCACCGAGCCCAGCCTATTTACGTGGCGCTCTGAGGCACCGTTCACCCAGTCCTGCAAGTCGAGAAAACTGAGTTCAGCGACCTCCGGAGGGCAAGCCACTGACGCTGACACTACGGAAGATCCTCCACTACGACGACAGCGACGGCAGCAAAAGTATGTACAGATGCAGTCAACGTGGTACGAAGAGTGGTGACATCCAACATTGCGCTAATCGACACTGGAGCAGACACTTTCGTTACGAGCATGGGTCTTGCTTGTAGGCTGAAGAATGTTTCTACCCAATGGGCTGGGTCGCAGATATGTACGGCAGAAGACCATCTTCTCACTCCGGTGGGATGGTGCACAGTGCGTGTCAGTATTCACGGATTTACGTATCTCGGAGATTTTGCAATGCTGCCGAGTTGCTCGAGAAACCTAATTCTCGGACTGGACTTTCTGCATGATAAAGAAGCCGTGATTGACTTGCAAGAGTCGCAGATGACCTTTTCTACGGCACACATTTTAGCGCGCAACCCTCACGGCAGGCACGTCAATAGTTTGAGTATTGTTGACGATGACGTCACGTTACCGCCGAAGAGTAGCGTGTTGACCTGGGTAACCTGCGACATTTTCAATAAATTCCACGAATATAAAGGTATTGCACAGGCAAATGTCCCGCTTCTGCTAAAAAAAATATCTACGTAGCCCGGTGCCTTGTTCGGTTAGAGAATAGACGCTCTCGCGTTCGGCTGACCAACTTCAGCAACGAGTTTTAGCACGTCCCTAGAGGCACTACTATCACTTTCCTCAATGAAATTGCCAAATTTTCTGATTTCGGCACATTAGATACGACTCCACCGCATGCAAAATCTTCTGCTGACCTGGAAAGCCGGCTTCACGTTAATCCAGACTTGCCAGATTCACTAAAAGAGCAGTTGCTAAACCTTGTGAGGGAATTTTCGGATTGCTTCACCACAGCTTCAAAAGTTCAACGTACCACCGTTACAAAGCACTGCATTGTTACCGAGGAGTCGGCACGGCCTCTTCGACATCATCCACACCGTGTGTTCCCGAAGGAAAGAGAGGTGATTAAGCGTCAAGTTTAAGAAATGCTGAATTATGACGTCATTCAACCATCGAAAAACTTCGTGGGCATCACCTGTTGTCTTAGTAAAAAAAAAATGGCAGCATATCCACAGAGTAAATGATGGAGAGTGGGGCGAAGCATTCGTCCATCCATTCGTTCTTGCTTTCGTCCGTCCATGCGGCCGTCTGTGTGACCGTCCATGCGTTCATTCGCCCGTCCGTGCGTGCGTCTGTTCGAGCGTTCGTCAGTGCGTTCGTCCATGCATCCACCCCTGCGTCCGTTCATGCATCTATCCATGCATCTGTCTGTGTGTCCGTTTGGCCATCTATTCAACACTTCAAGTCCCACCATCTCGCATATTTTCATCATATATTCCCCATATAGAAACACCTTCATCCAGCAGACATTCCAAAGACTAAACGAGAGGTGGCACACGCACACTTTCTTACGGCTTGGGCTTCGGGTCTACTCGCCACCTTTAACTACCTCGAGCTCATGGTATATACTAGTTCACTTTATTCATGGCAGTTCGGCCCAACGCTCGCGAAACCTTTTGAGAACCAAGGAGGTTACACCAGCGAGTATAACGTAGCAACCTTTTTCTGTCAGATAGTGCTCAATGTACATGCCAATGGCAGCTGATGGGAAATGAGAGACTGAAGAATTCGGCTTTTACTTTCTTACGGCTTGCGCTTCCTATCTACTTCCCACCTTCAACTACCCCGAGTTCATGGTATATACTAGTTCATTGTATTCATGCCACTGCGGCTCAACGCTCGCTAAACCTTTCTAAAACTAAGGAGGTTACACCCAGCGAGTGTAACGTAGCAACCCTTTCTTGTCGGTAGTGCTTAATGTGCATGCCAATGGCTGCTAATGGGGAACGAGAGACAGCAGCATTTGGCTTTTAGTTAACGCGCACGCCGCGATTTTTTATCGTTGAACAAAGCACACGAGAAATTTCCCACCAGCACCAACTTGCAGGTCAAAGTGTAACACTGGTTACACACTACGACTACGATTACGAGGGACGAACCGGTGCCACTTCAAGGAGCTTCAACCCTGAAATGACAACACACTACGCTTCTGCGTTGACTATCGATGGCTTAGCGAAGTCACAAAACGCGACGTCTACCCCCTGCCACGGATTGATGACGCCTTAGACTGTCTACGCCACGCCCAGTTCTTTACATCATTAGATCTCAAATCAGGGTACTGGCAAAATAATGTTGGCGAGGGCAACCGTGATACTGCATAATCCACGGTTGTGACTTCCGGAGGGCTTTACGAATTTAAAGTGCTGCCTTTCGGACTCTCTTCCACTCCCACTACATTTCGACACATAATAGACACCGTATTAGCTGGACTAAAGTGGCAGACGTGTCTAAATTGCGTTTTCAAGCACGTTTGACGAGCACCTTTCAAGGCCAAAAAGTGTTCTTACTGCAATAAGGAGAGCGAATCCTACTATCAAGCCCGAAAAGTGCTACTTTGGCTATAAAGAACTCCAGTTTCTCGGCCACGTGGTGATGCCGGGGCTTTTCGACCAGATCCGGAGAAGTTGGCTGCCGTTGCCAATTTCTTTCATCTTGGAGACAAGAAGGGTGTTCAGCGATTCATCGCACTCTGTGCGTACTACCACTGTTATGTCGAAGGATTTTCGAAAATTGCGAAACCTCTTACAAGACTGACATGGCCAGAT